CGTGGCGGTGTCCGCCTGTAGTCCTAGCTACTCCAGAGGCTGCAGCGGGAGGATTGTTTGTGAGGTTACAGTGAGCTATGATTGGGTCACTGCACTCCAGCCTGGGCTACAGAGCTAGACCCCTTCTCTTTGAAAAAAAAAGGGGAGGAGGGACCAATATAATCTGCTTACTTTCTAAAACAAACTGAAAATTCTTGGCTTGTCATGCAAAATTTTAACAAAGTGACTAGCAGGTAGAACAAGATGAACATCTAGGAATCAGAGGTTCAATTTTAGCAGGTTAACAATTGATTAATGCCTAATAAGTAGTAGGCTCTTTTCTAGAGGATGGAAATAGAAACATTAACAGGACATATTTCCTGTCCTCACTGGAAGTGGTAGATGTTATAGAGGAGAGAGGAAATGTGACGGCCAGGGGAGAGAGACAAAGCAAACATTTTAATGATTGGACCACACTGCAATTCAGGGGAGGCTCTGGATTAGGTGCTGTATTTCCTGTTGTTGCTGTAACAGGTTACCAGAAATTTAGGGACTTAAAGCAACACAAATTTAATTAACAGAAAGTTTCAATTATGGGAGATGAATGAGTTCTAGAGATCTAAAATACTGTGCCTATAGTCAACAATATTATACACCTAAAAATCAGTTAAGAATAAATCTCAAGTGTTGTTACCACAATTTTTAAAAAAATATAAATTTGTTAAGGTTCTGCTGGTCAGAAGCATAAGAAGGATCTCATGGGCTAAAATTGAAATGTTCGCAGGGCTACCTTTCTGGGAGACTCTAGGGGAGATTATGTTCTTTTGCCTTTTTCGGCTTCTAGAGGCTGCACAAACTTCTTGGTTTATTGCCCCCTTGCGCCTTCAATGCCAGTAATACTATAGTCTTCCTTTTTCTTTTTCTTTCTCTTCCTTCCTTCCTTCTGACAGGTCTCTCTCTATTGCCTAGCCCTGGCTAGAATGTAATTGCCTCATCATAGCTCACTGCAACCTCAAACTCCTGGGCTCAGGGGATCCACCTACTTCAGCCTCCCAAGTAGCTAGGGCTACAGGCACATGCCACCACGCCTGACTAATTTTTCTGTTTTTTGTAGAGCCGGAGTCCACTATTTTGCTCAGGCTGGTCTCGAACTCCTGGCCTCAAACAGTCCTCCTGCCTTGGCATCCTAAAGTGCTGAGATTATAGGCATGAGCCACCACACCTGGCCAGTCTCCCCTTTTCTACATGGAATAAGTTCCAATACCCCCTGAAACCACAGATAGTACCAATCCCTACATAGACTATGTTTTTTCTATACATTCATACATATATTAAGTTTATGAATTAGGCACAGTAAGAGATTAACAACAATAGCTACTAATAAAATAGAACAATTATAACAATATACTGTAATAAAAGTTATGTGAATGTGGTCTGCCCCTCTCTCTCAAAATATCTTATTGTACTATACCCTCCCATTTCAGACCACAGTTGATCATGGGTAACTAAAACCCTGAACCCGAGGAAAGTGAAACCTCAATAAGGGGGGACTACTATAGTCTTTCTCACACGGCATTACTCTCTCTTGCCTTTTACTTTTAAGCCCCCTTGTAATTACACCCAGGTAATTTGCTCATCTCACGGTCAGCTAATTAGCAACCTTATTCCATCTGTAATGTTAATTGTCTTTTGCCATGTAACCTAACATATTCACAGGTTGTGGGGATTAGGACATGGTCATCTTTGTGGGGGAAGGGGCATTATTCTGCCTACCAGGGGCTGGGAGAAATGAGATCAGCGTAGAAAGGTTAGGACAAGTGTCAACCATTGAGGAGCCAAGCAGTGTAACAGGCACTATGTGAGTCCCCAGACATTCCCAGGATTGAAGACATAGGGGAAAGAGAAGTATTTTTGCTCCTCTCCCTGGTGTGAGGTGTTCTTTTTGGTGTACGTGAAATCACATAATCATGTACATGTGATGTACATGAAATCATATAAATTTTCCTCTGGTCAAGTAAATGCTCTGTCCTCTAGAGGGCTGGGAAGATTAGTTAGAACCTCCAGGTTTCTATACAATTGCTAGGTTTAGGTCAGGAATAAATCAACTTCTGAAACAGATGATCTAAGGCTGTTAGCGTCATCATTCGCCCTCTGACATTTTGCTTTTTAGCAATGATGGAAACTGTATTAAGTCCTGCATCTGTGGTTCTGGTACAATCAAGTCTCTGAATTACCAGGATTTGGCACTTAAACCTGCCTTTTTTTCCTACAATAAATGAAATTATTGCTGACTGTGAACTAAAATAAAATCTTAAGCCCCTCAGCTGACTGAATGGACCCCCTCTTGGCCAAGGGGATCCCAGAGATACCTTACAGCTGAGTTGCTGGTGGTGAGAAGGGAGGTCAGACATACCTTGTCATGTCTCCTTCCCTTCTTGGAGATATCATTTGTAACTTATTAACAGGCCTAAGGATATGCAAGACAAGGCTTAAAACACACCTACAGGTCATCAATTTACTTAACAGATCACTTGAGTCTATGTCCGGTGGCTCATCTCTGATTAACAGACTTCCTTAGCTTAACTTAAAACATTCCAGGCCTTTAAACAAAGCTTCATTTCTTTAAACAATTACAAATCAAAGAATCTTTAAACCCACCTATAATCTCTAATTTCCCAATTTGAAATGTTCTGCCTTTTCAGGCCAAACCAACATATGCCTTCCATGTATTCATTTATGACTTTGTGTGTAATTCCTGTCTCCCTGCAATGTATAAAACCAAACTGTGGTGACACCACTTCCTCAAGGCTTCTTGGGCATCGGCTTTCCGGGCCATGCTCACGCATATTCAGCTCAGAATAAACCTCTTTAAATTATTTTACAGAGTTTGATTTCATTTCCATTGAGAATTGTTATGATTCCTCTATATTGTAGGTCATGAAGTGCATTCTTTCTGAATGCTATATAATATGTTACATGAACTACTACAGTTTATTCATCCAGTACCCTGTTGCTAATTACTAGATTATTTCCAGGTTCTTGTGAACTGTGAAATAATAAAGACCAAGTAGATAGTTTTTTTTAAATCAAAATGAAAAAAAAGTTCGATAATAAAAACAAAAAGTGTAAAATATTAACTAGTAATCTTTAAAGTGGAAAATATAAATCCCTCTGTAATCATGTCCCCAGAGATAACCAATGTTAAAATCTGGGGTATCTATATACACACCATGTACATATGCTGTGTACCTATTTTTTTTTTTTTTGAGACAGTTTCGCTCTTTTGCCCAGGCTAGAGTGCCATGGCATCAGCCTACCTCACAGCAACCTCAAACTCCTGAGCTCAAGCAATCCTCCCGCCTTGGCCTCCCAGAGTCCTAGGATTACAGGCATGAGCCACCACGCCTGGCTTCTATTAATTTTTTAAAACAAAAATGGGATCTGTGAATTGCTGTTTTCCATAGTAATATATCATGTGTATCATCACTTGTCCATATATAGAGATCTACTTTATCTTTTTTAACAATTCTTTGACATTTCACTGTTGACATATCAATATTTATTTCACAAATTTCCAATTTCAGAAATTCTGGTTATTTCCAGTTTTCTGCTTTTATAAGCAATGTTGTAATACGGATCCTTACATATACATCTTTGGGCATTTGTCTGATTTATATTATTCATTTTAGTTTTTTGAGACAAGATCTTTCTCTGTCACCCAGGCTGGAATGCAGTGGCATGATCATAGCTCACTGTAACTTCAAACTGCTGGGCTCAAGCAATGTTCCTGCCTCAGTCTCCAGAGTAGCTGGGACTTACAGGTATATGACGGCATGCCTGGCTAATTTTTAAAAAAAAATTTTAAAGGTGGGATCTTGCTATGTTGCCCAGGCTGGTCTCAAACTCCTGATCTCAAGTGATCCTCCCACCTCAGCCTCCCAAAATGCTGGGATTATAGGTATTAGCCACCATGCTGGACCTGATTATTTTATTAAGATCATTTCCTGGAAATGAAATTGCTGGATTGAAGGACATGAAATTTTGTTTTTATCTGTCATTATATTTATTTATTGCTGCATATTGCCCTCCAAAAATCAATTAATAATTTACATTCTTATCATCATAATATAGAGCTCAGAGCAGGCAATTCCTAGTCCAACCAAGTTCAAGAGAGACTTCTTAGAGGAGATGACTCTTGGGTTGAATCATGGTGAGATTGAAACAAGCCTTCAAAAGAGCAGATAAATAATCTACCAGGAGCCAGTGACAGAGTGCCCAGGCTGGATTCCCTCACTCTGCTTCTTTGTATCTATATTCTCCAACACTAGGTGTCATTGACATATTTAATCTTTGCCAAATAGAATTACTCTTCGTTTTTTAATTTTTTTACTTTTATTTATTTACTTACCAGTGTCAATGGAAAAGAAGGAAACCCTTTAAAATAATTTAAAGAGGTTTATTCTGAGCCAGATTTAAGGACCACGACCTGGAGCCATGCCCAAGAAGCCTTGAGCAAGTGGACTGGCTTTATACATTTCAGGGAGACAGGAATTACAGGTAATGTCATAAATCAATACATGGAAGGCATACATTGGTTGGGCCCAAAAAGGTAGGACATATCTAAGTGGGGGTTTACAGGTTATAGGTGGGTTTAAAGACTCTTTTGATTTGTAATTGGTTGAAGAAATGAAGCTTTGTTTAAAGGCTTAAAATGTTTTAAGTTAAGATAAGAAAGTCTGTTAATCAGGGAGGAGCTACAGCCACATAATTTGTTGTATAAATTGAGGACCTGCAGGTTTGTCTTGCATAGCCTCAGGCCTGTTAATAAGTTACAAAGGATATCTCCAAGTAGGTACAGTTGGCATGATGAGGCATGTCTGACCTCCCTTCTCACGGTGGGCAGCTCAGTTTTAGGGTATCCCCTTGGCCAAGAAAGAGTCCATTTATTCAGCCAATGGGAGTGGAGAGGAGCCTCAGATTGGTTTCATAATCCATTTCCTGGTCTAGAGGAAAAAGAAACAATGGCTACAGAGAGTGTTCCCTCCGAGATCATAGAAAGAGAAAGAAAAAAGTTGCTTGAAATCCTCCAACAGGATCCTGATTCTATCTTAGACACTTTAACCTCTTGGAGGCTGATTTCTGAGGAAGAATATGAGACTCTGGAGCATGTTACAGATCCCCTGAAGAAAAGTCGGAAGCTGTTGATTTTGGTACAGAGAAAGGGAGAGGTGACCTGTCAGCATTTTTTCAAGTGTTTATTCAGTACTTTTCCAGAGACAGCTGCCATTTGGGGCTTAAGGCACGGTAAGCTGATTTTGTACACTTTCTGGGGTGAGAGAAGGGGGCAGGTTTCCTGAAAAAAAAAAAAAAAAGAAAGAAAAAGAAAATTGCCACCTTTCATTTTGTTTGTCTTTCTCCTGCAGATAATTTTCACTGAAATATGAGATAGGGGAAAAGTGTCCAGAATTTAAAAACCAGGGGATGATGCATCTTGTTGGTTTAGGGGATCGATAATTTTAGACTGTATCTAAAACTTGCAGTCGTTTTAGTGCTAGCATAAACTGCTTATTATTTTGGCAGTGACATCCTAAAACCTCATGGTTGGAAAGAGAACACTGTTAATATTGACAGAATCTGAGGTTTCTTTTTTAAGTAAGTGAATTCACGAATATTAACAGTCCCAAGACCACAAGCTGCATCTTTCACTTGGTGTAGCCATTTTGAAAATACAGGAAAAATAATTTTTAGCATACACAGATGGCAGATTGATAATTTCATTTTCTTGCTGATAAAAATGCCAGCAGCACCTGAGTTTTCTGGAGCAATTCAAATACTAATTCTTAAATGTGTCAAAGGTAACTAGTAGGCGCAGTGGCTCACGCCTGTCATCCTAGCACTCTGGGAGGCCGAGATGGGAGGATTTCTTGAGGTCAGGAGTTGGAGACCAGCCTGAGCAAGAGCGAGACCCCGTCTCTACTAAAAATAGAAAAATCAGCTGGGCATTGTGGCACCCGCCTGTAGTCCCAGCTGTTTGGGAGGCTGAGGTAAGAGGACCACATGAGCCCAGGGGTTTAAGATTACAGCGAGCTACTATGATGCCACTGCACTCTAGCTGGGGACAGAGTGAGACTCTGTCTTACACACACACACAAAAAAGCTAACTAGTGGCCCACGAGGCAGCTGTTCTTCCAATTGTTTAGCAATTCTGTACATTGCCACTAGAGGCAGGTGTAGCTCCTTGTCTAGAAATCTGAAAAAATATTCAGGATTTTTTTTTTTTTTTGAGACGGAGTCTTGCTCTGCCAACCTGGTTAGAGAACAGCGGTGTCATCGTAGCTCACTGCAACCTCAAACTCCTGGGCTCAAAGGGATCCTCCTGCCTCAGCCTCCTGTGTAGCTGGGGCTACAGGCACATGCCACCACACTGACTATTTTTTTCTATTTTAAGTAGAGACGGGTCTCAGTCTTGCGTAGGCTGGTCTTGAATTCCTGAGCTCAAGAGCCCCTCCCACCTCATCCTCCCAGAGTGCTAGGATTACAGGCATGAGCCACTGCGCCCAGCCTATATTTACGATTATTTTAAGAGATGTTAGAGAGGTAGGGGCTCAGATAAAAAGGTGAATGTTAATGGTCCCTAGTGTAAAAAAAGACACATATGCATAGAAAAATAGCTTTTATTATTTCTACAACATACTATTCCAAATTAGAGCTATTTGCTTACTGATTAGACATTATTGAGATCAGATTTCATTAGCAACGGCCCCAGGAAACTAGAGTCTATTGTGGGGTCACAGTAAGTCCACAAGTAAACACTGTTCAAAAATTAAAATTTTCTGTTTTTTTGTTTATGCTGCAAGGTTGCTATGAAAGACTCAAATTGTTGAGTGAGACAGTGATGTGATCTGATTTTTTTCAGTGAGAAAAAGAAAGTTCTGACAGTTGATTTTTTGCCATCCAAGTTACATAGGAGGTAGTGGATATGAAGTAAAGAAGAGGGATGATGCTTTGAGGACTCAGAAATTCAAGTTATTATATATATATAAAATTTCTTTTTATTAATGAGGAAAAACAAAAAAAACCCAAAATTTTCTTATTCTTTTCAGAAATTTTAAAACACAAGAATATACTACCACCTCAATCTCTTGGGGTAAGCCAGAATTCAGAAGATGCTTTTTCTTTTGGAAACAAACAACCTGAGAATCCTGAAATTACAATGTCCTTCAAAGAGAAAGAACATTTGGATTTGGAAACCTTTGAGCTTTTCAAAGACAAGAAAACTAGTTGTGGGGAAACTGCTTTGTCCTCCATGGGGAACGAGAAGGGATACCACACACCAACAGTCATATTGCCGCATTCAGTTGAGAACGTCGAATACGAAGTTCCAGCAACTATTACATATTTAAGGGATGGACAGAGATATGAGGAGCCAGATGATTCTTTATACTTAGGAGAAGAAGACTATCTAGAATTTCTTGCATACTCTGAAGATGGAGCAACCACCGTGGAAGAAGAGGATTATGAGGATCCCGAGCACATTGTGTACGAGAGTGAAGAGGACTCTGAGGATTCAGAAACCGCAGGGTTCTTTAGTGAAGAACAGAGTTATGAGGATCCAGAAACCAACATTTCATTGGAGGAGGAAGAGGAAGAGACAAGTATGGAAGGTATGGGAATGATATGCGTAGAGCCAGGCAACAATTTATGAATAAGTTAATAAGGTTGCCATGACATAATGAGGAGAGGGGATGAAGAAGGGCACATATGTCAGCAAAAAATCAACTACTAAGAAATTCCTTGTATCTCTCTAACCTGGAGTCTCCTCAGAGGTAGGTGTTGATGTGAAGGGGCACCCAGGACCTAAGAAGTGGTGGACAGTACAAGCAAAAGTAAATACTGTTTGTCAGCTTATAGATTTCTGTAGTCATCTTCCATCATACATACAAATATTTGCTAACCATTAATTTTAGGTGTAACTTTCTATTCCTCAGATTAACCACTTTTGTCATTTTAGTGCCTTTGTTACCAGAGAGATATGAGGATTATGGGCCTAACCACTTAAGTGGAGATAGTAGAGGAGTTTGTGGTGAATGATTAAGATCTCAAAATATAGTTACTTGGCTTGGTCCAGCCCATATATTGCCATCTCGTCAGGAGAATTATATCAGTAACTTGAATCTGAATATTTCTTTTTTTTTTTTTTGAGACAGAGTCTCACTCTGTTGCCCAGGCTACGGTGCCGTGGCATCAGCCTAGCTCACAGCAACCTCAAACTCCTGGGCTCAAGCGATCCTCCTGCCTCAGCCTCCCGGGTAGCTGGGACTACAGGCATGCACCACCATGCCCGGCTAATTTTTTCTCTATATATTTTTAGTTGTCCAGCTAATTTCTTTCTATTTTTAGTAGAGACGGGTCTCACTCTTGCTCAGGCTGGTCTTGAACTCCTGAGCTCAAACGATCTGCTTGTCTCAGCCTCCCAGAGTGCTAGGATTACAGGCGTGAGCCACTGCGCCCAGCCCCCAAGGATTTCTTGTAGTTACTTTTATTAATTTCTAAAATCTATGTTTTTCTCTTACTTCTATTGTTTCTTATAGGCTCTTTTTAAAGGAGATTTTAATTTTTATGCCAGCTTGCCATCTGTCAGGAGTAGAAAATCTACTCTGACCTTTCTCTACTAAGCATTATTTCTGTATTTCTAAGTAGCTAGAAGATATATTAGACAGTGGTGATCAGGAGAAATTAGGGACAGCATGTAAATTCTGAGAAAACTTTGATAGAAATAAAATCTTCAGTTTTTCTAAACTTTAGCAAGAGGTAAATTTAAGAAAGAAATCAATATGAACCTAGAGAATTCCTCACACATGTATGTAATATAACACTAACAAGGTCTTTTATTGCTGTATACAAACATTAGCAAAAATTTTAAAAAATAAAAAAACTAAATGATAATCCATACAAAACAGTTAAATAATAGTTCATCCAAACCATGAAGCACCATGAAATGGCTAAAGTGAATTAGGTAGATCTCTATATATGCTAACTAGGAAGAATTTGCAAGGAATACCGTTAAGTGAAAAGAGGTTGACGAATCATTTGTTTGGTATAATATCATTTTTTTTTGAGACAGAGTCTCACTCTGTTGCCCAGGCTAGAATGCCGTGGCGTCAGCCAAGCTCACAGCAACCTCAAACTCCTGGGCTCAAGCAATTCTCCTGTCTCAGTCTCCCAAGTAGCTGGGACTACAGGCGTTTGCGACCACGCTCAGCCAATTTTTTCTATTTTTAGTTGTCTGGCTAATTTCTTTCTATTTTTAGTAGAGACGGGGTCTTGCTCTTGCTCAGGCTGGTCTTGAACTCCTGAGCTCAAATGATCCTCCCGCCTTGGCTTCCCAGAGTGTTATGATTACAGGCATGAGCCACCACGCCTGGCCTGTTTGGTATAATATCATTTATGTAAAAATAAAATAGCATCTGTTAAGCAAAACTACACATTTCTGTATGTACATGCATAATTATGTACTTGCACAGAAAAAGGATGGGAAGGAAACATACCATACCATACCATACTGACATATCTCTTCAAAGGAAAGTGGCCTTGGCAGAGTGGTGAGTGGGGACTTTCACTTTGTTTATATTGTTTCATCTTTTTGCAGTGAAAATGTCAATATTAATTTAATTTAAAAAGTCAGTGAGGGAAACTAAGATTCTGAACATGGCATTCACTAGTATCTTCTCTCCTACAGAAAGAAAAAAGGTGTTTAAAGACATCCTGTCATGTTTGAACATGGATAGAAGCAGAAAGCTTCTGCCAGATCTTGTTAAACAAGTCTCCTTAGAAAAAGGATGTAAGTGGACACCCAAGACTCCGGGAGACTTAGCCTGGAATTTCCTGATGAAAGTTCAAGCACTGGATGTGACAGCCAGAGATTCAATTCTCAGGCACAGGGTTCTGGATGAAGATAGCAAAGGGGAATTGCTGACTGGCTTGGAGAATTTGGAAATTCAAGACATGCAAACCATTCATCCTCTGGATGTCCTTTGTGCCTCCATGCTGTGTTCAGACAGCTCTTTGCAACGTGAAATCATGTCAAACATGTATCAGTGCCAGTTTGCTCTTCCTCTGCTACTGCCAGATGCAGAAAACAACAAAAGCATCTTAATGCTGGCGGCCATGAAGGACATTGTGAAGAAGCAGTCAACACAGTCCTCAGGAGGGGCAACAGGGGATACAGAAAAGTTTCTGACCTTCACGAAGATGCCTGTCATTTCTTTTGTACGTCTAGGACACTGTAGTTTCTCCAAGTCCAGAATCCTCAACACACTGCTCAGCCCCGCCCAGCTGAAATCACACAGAATCTTTATCCATCAAGACTCACCTGTTCTGGTGCTTCCCCGGCAAATCTCTGATGGTCTGGTTGAGATAACATGGTGTTTCCCTGACAATGATGACCTAAAGGAAAACCCTACTTTTTCCCAAAAGCCTGTTGCTGTGGCCAACCTTCGTGGAGATCTAAAATGCTTTTGGACCCAGTTTGGTTTTTTGATGGAAGTTTCCTCGGCTCTGTTTTTTTTCACTGACTGCTTAGGTGAGAAGGAATGGGACTTGCTAATGTTTTTAGGAGAAGCTGCCACTGGAAGATGCTACTTTGTCCTCAGTCCCCAAGCCAAGGAGAGTGAAGAGTCTCAGATTTTCCAGAGGATCCTGAAATTGAAGCCATCACAGTTACTGTTTTGGGATGGGGAGGAAGCTGGGGATGGAAGGAAGAACATGGAGGGCCTCCGAGCTGCCCTCCAGGAAGTGATGTCCTCCTCGTCACTCAGATGTGTGTCCGTGGAGGACATGGCCTGCCTGGCCAGGGAGTTGGGGATTCAGGTAGACCAAGATCTTGAGAACACTCAAGGAATTCAAGTTTCCCCTAATGAAAACGCGGCTGGAACAGCTGATGGTGAGGGACAACAAAGACTTAGTCAATCAAAAAGCTCATCTGGAGGCGATGCTCAGATGCCTGTAAGAGAGCCCTGGGCTAGTTGTGAGGTCGGCTGGAATCTCCAGAATTTCCACCATACCCCACTAGTCAGGCCTCATCTAGAAAGCTCCTGGCCACGACTAACAAGAATTAGGGGTAACTTTAACCATGTTTCCTTGAAAGCCCCTCGGGTTGCAGGCTTCCACTTTGGGTCACAGCCGAGGTTTAAGTGGTTCTGTCCTTTGCCCTTTCAGAATGCAAGGCCCCAGAGTCGAGGTAAAAGTTTTGGTGTTCAATTCTTTCAACCCCACAGGTTTTATTCAGGTGCAAGATTCATGAAATTTTCTAGAACTGCTCGGGGGCGCCCCTTGAATGGAACATTTGGAACACCACCAAGACCCATTTCTCAGCATGTACAGGCCTGTCCAAGACCACAAGCAATGGGAGCTGTTGAAAGGTCTAGGGTCTCCCAGGTAGGTCACTCCCATTCCCTGGGTTCACAGCCAGCAGGAGTAGTAGGGAAGCCACAGCCTAGGCAAGTCTGCATCCGGGGAACACAGCTAAATGAAGCACCTGGAAAATTTGTGAGAGCAACACCCCATATTGAAGATCCTCACCCTCAATCCTTTCAACCAGCAGGAGCCATACAAAAACTGGTAGGACCTGCTTCTCTGCAAGGAGCCCAGCAGAAGACACAGGGTAGACCTTTAAATCCAACTTTCCAAGCAGGGATGCATCCTATGTCCAAGAGCTCTCAATTCAAATCCAATCAGCCCAAGCCATCCCAAGTCAAACACTCCCAGCTTAAACCCTCCCACCCTGTGACCTCTCAACCTAAACCCTCTCAGACGAAACCCCCTCAGCCTCAGCCCTCCCAAGCTAAACCTTCTCCATCTAGATCTACTCATCACAAGCCATACCAGCCCCAGCCCTCCCAATCTAAGCCTTCTCAGTCCAGACCCACTCAATCTAAGTCATCCTGGACCAGTCCTTCCCAGGCCAAGGCCTACCACCCAAGAGTAGGGCCCAAGAGAGGAGCGAAGCATTAAAGAGCTTACTCCAGAGATCTATAAAACATCCTTTACCCAGGCCATCTTTATCATATAGTGACCTAAAGAGGAGTTGCCATGAAGGTAAAAGACTACTGTCATTAACATGATAAACACAAAAAGATAGGCACAGCCTAAATGGATATCATTAGAATATCTGTAAGAGTTGTATCCCTAACCAGGAGGGAAAAATATGAAAATAATTAAGAATAGTAGGCTGGATGCAGTGGCTCATTCCTGTAATCCTAGCACTCTGGGAGGTCGAGGTGGGAAGATTGCTTGAGGTCAGGAGTTCCAGACCAGCCTGAGCAAGAGTGAGACCCCATCTCTACTAAAAATAGAAAAAATGAGTTGGGCATGGTGGTGCGCACCTGTAGTCCCTGCTACTCTGGAGGCTGAGACAGGAGGATTGCTTGAGTCCAGGAATTCGAGGTTGGGGTGAGCCATGGTCATGCCACTGCACTTTAGCTGGGGTGACAGAGCAAGACTCTGTCTCAGGAAAAATAAAAAAACAGAATCAAGCAGTAAATAAATTAATTGAATCCAACCTTGAGTATTAGATAATACATAACTTGAATCCAGGCAATGAGGGTCTGTGAGACAGCTCTATTTGGAGAATGGTGTTGGAGTCACTAATTGCAAAGTGACCATAAAAACATACTCAGGTTGCCTCTGTGTTGCAAGAAAAATTGTCCTAGATGTTGGCTGCTGCAGAGGTGCCTTGGTCAAAAGTTTGTAATTCAATATCAGCCACTGAGCAGATAACCCTGCTTATTTGGGGCAATTAAATCAACTTGCCTGTGATAATAGCCCCAATTTATTTGCATGATAAATTCTCTCATTTGACCCTTACAGATAGAAATAATGAACTAACAACGAGTAAAATTAATTACTTTGCATTAACTTTAGGAATAATTTGTTTCATATTTCAAATATTTGTAATAGTTAAAAAATTTGGCTTATTAGAGGACCTGATATATTAGTCTCATGATTACAATTTAAAATGTATCATTGAATTTTTAATTTTAGAGTTGTAATTTTTTTTAGTTGGAAAGATTAAGGTTAGTTTTCGAAGTTTATAAAAAGTGCTGAAATGTTTAAGAGAACTCAAGATTCACAGAATTTGTAATTTTTTTTTTTTTTTGAGACAGAGTCTCACTGTGTTGCCCAGGCTAGAGTGAGTGCTGTGGCGTCAGCCTAGCTCACAGCAACCTCACACTCCTGGGCTCAAGCAATTCTTCTGCCTCAGCCTCCCAAATAGCTGGGACTACAGGCATGCGCCACCATGCCCGGCTAATTTTTTTCTATATATTTTTAGTTGTCCGATTAATTTCTTTGTATTTTTAGTAGAGACGGGGTCTCGCTCTTGCTCAGGCTGGTTTCGAACTCCTGAGCTCAAACAATCCGCCCGCCTCGGCCTCCCAGAGTGCTAGGATTACAGGCGTGAGCCACCACGCCCAGCCTCCTTTGTGTCTTCTTAAGCCTTTCCAGGACATAGCACAGGGTCTTTCTCATAATAGCTTTTATTATATTGGTTACTAACTGAGAATTTTGTTCTAAATCTTTGAGTAGTTCCCAACAGAATTGCATCAAATAATAATTAATTGAATGCTCATTACATTCTTAGTGCTGCATACATTTAAATATTTTATCTCACTTAGTTTTCACAGTGGTCTTGTGGGGTGGACATTGCTAGATGATTTCACCTACAAGGAAACACAGACGCAGAGATTAAGGGACTTCCCCAAGGAGCTGAGATTTGAAGCAAATTCTCTAATTCCCTGCCCTGTGCGCATTATACTGCCTCAGGGGTCCTCTGTCCTACAAGTGTGAGGAGGTTTCCTCCTCTTCTTGCTCCTTAGTGCCTTGCATTTTGTGATCTTGCATCATTTTAAGAAAAGAGAAAATAAAAATGAGAAAAATCTACATAATTTCAGATTTTCCAGCTCTAAAATTTAGGAAAGCGCCATTATACTGCCATCTTCTGGATCTTTTGAATGCTTGCACATTAACAACATATTGTTATATTAATATTTAAAACCAGGTCTGTCCAAACCTAATCTGGGACTGACACATTAAACATTGTATATGTTTTCCTTTAAAAAAGGGAAAACATTAAAAATATTTCTTCGATTAATCATAAAAAAATTCTTTTAAACAACTTAATATATATCAAATATGGAGGCTAAAAGAAATGTATTCAGAGATCAATTATTATTTTTTTTGGAAGGGATGCAGAAAAACATATACAGTTAAACGTTATAAATAATTCAAATGCCATCTTTTGAACATGGATTTCAACCTCTTTCAATTACAGTTTCTAAAATTAATGTTATTAAAAGATATGGGGAAAAACACTTCCATTCCAGTAAGTGTATAAATTATTATAGAAGGAAATTGGGCTATATTTATAAAAAATAAAAATTAAATATGTGTAACTTTTGAGCCAGCAAATTTACTTTATGAATTTATCTTACATATATTCTTGTTGATGTATGCAAAGATGTGTATATGTAAAGAATGTACAATCTTACATTGTTTATAAAAGATTAGAAAAATCAGAATGTTTAAGAAAATGTTGGTACTACACTTATGCAGTGTGATTCTATGCAATTGACTAAAAAGAATGGTGTAAATATGCTGGTAATAGCTGATATTATAAGAGTTTTGTAATGTGTTTTAAATATTTTGGCCTAGAACTGAGAGATATTATTCAAAAATAAGTACTCTTTTCATATTTTTTACTGGCAGATATTTATGCAGAAAAAACTGCATTTGGGTTTCTGGAAGAGTGATACACTCAGATTCAAAAAAATAGAACATAAGACAATAAAATATAATCTTAACTTTATAAAGTATGATACAATAAATAAAATAAAAATAATTTGAGGCTGGGTGTGGTGGCACATGCCTGTAGTCCCAGCTACTTGGGAGGTGGAGGAGGGAGGATCACTTGAGACCAAAAGTTTGAGATAATAGTGAGTTTTGATTGTGCCACTACACACCAGCCTGGGCAACAGAGTGAGACCCTGTGTCTAACAATAATGATAATCACAGTAATTTGAGTATAAGTTATACTGTGTGGTTTCTGTTCAAGAAAAATAAGAACTAACAGAAAGAAAAACTTAGTGTTCTGTGAAATCCATACTATGAAGCTAAATTTGCCCTGCAATGTCTTTTTACTATATTCATTTTTCAATAATAAAATATTAAATATTTATGATAATGATGACTGGTAAATTTATTGATTTTTTTTCTATGTGCCAGTGCTGTCAGTGTTTAACATGTAATAAATCAGTCAATCCTCTCTATAACTCTAGGAGGACATGTGAAGATAATATTCTTATTTAATGAAATTGAGGGTAAGGGAAGTTAAGGAAGTTACTAAAAAATCACACAGCCAGCAAATGGTCAAATCAAGACTTGAGCCCGAATATTCTGAATTCATATGCAGTATTCTTCCTATTATACCCAAATGGGCCAAAAGAGAAAACAATATTAATGCAAATGCCTTTATTAGAATGCTTGCTGATGTATATGAAGTGCTTAACACATTGGCACATAATAACTGCTTAATAAATGTTGACTATACTTCTTGTAATTATTATTATGTTGAGAGGCAATAAGGTAGGTTTTTTTCTGAGTGATGTTGACAAGCATCCTTCCCACTCAACCCTTCCGCTGAAGTGCATTTTCATGTCTTCACACGAATATGCCCATAAGGGCAGGAGCTTTGTCTGTTCTATTCATGGCTATATTCCTGAGGCCTAGATGAGAGCCTTGCTTATATTGGATACTCAGTAAACATCTGGCAACCAGATTGAGAAAGCATAAGATTTTCTTGGTCCTTTTTTCTTCTTTTTGACTGTGACATTATCGACCTACTCTAGATCTGCTATTCTGTATAATTTGTATGCTTTACAGTAGTGCTTCTCAAATTTTAGTGGTATGAAAACTTCTGGGCACTTGCATGGAGTATACAATGCCTTGTGCCTTTGGACGGTAGTCAGCAGCAATTTGTTTCCTTGTAAGTTGCATCTGCCACAGCAGATGATTGACTCACTGCAGTCTTGGGGATGGCAGTGATGATGTTGCAGCCAACAAGCCCTTTGCTAAGTAGATGACCTGTTCACCTGTGGCTGCAGGGTGGGCTGTAGGTAGAGGCGAGGCCAGAGTGGGAGCTTTGAGAGCCAGGGGTGTTGCCATGTCTTGCTTGACCCTGCCACAGCTGAGACTGAAAGGCTAATACACTGCTTAATTTCTTTCTCACATCTTTCCTTTATCTCTCTTTTTTCTTTCCTTTCACATCGTCAATACTGTTTTCAAGTGGAATAAATTTTTTTTTTTTTTGAGACAGAGTCTTGCTCTGTTGCCCAGGCTAGTGTGCAGTGGCATCATCACGGCTCACTGCAACTTCTAACTCCTTAGCTTAAGTGATCCTCCCACCTCAGCCTCCCAAAGTGCTAGGACTACAGGTGTGAGCCACCACGCCCAGCTGAATACTTTTAAGTTTCCCAGCCTGGAGATGAATTGTTTGAAGCAAAGAATAAATCATTAAGCCTATAATTTCAGGTCTCATGAGAAAAATAGTTAGGTTGAGGGTATCTGGAAAGTATGCCTGGAAGTACATGAAAATTGGCATGGGGAAATTTTTGGTTAAAAGGAAAGTGAAAAAAAAAAAAAAGAGAGGGCAGAAGACAGAGGCTGGAGTTCATGGAAGTCTTTTCAATGAATTAGTGTTACCAGTAACTCATGAGAAACACTGCTTTAATGTATCCTAAAAGAATTAGGCTCAATAGAACCTTTCATTATCTGAGACCTGAATTCATCAGTGGCATTCTTTCCATATTCTTTTGAAGGCTGCTCTCGGATGAAATATAAAATGCATTAGAAATCCAATTTTAGTAATGGGCAGCATTATATTTTTTATATTCTTGCTGAAGGGACTCAGGGTGAATAGAGGGTCAATTCTATCTTTTTGTACAAGAAGGGCACAAAGGCAATCAGTCAGCA